TCCTCCACCACTCCACCACCTGCAATCCAACCCCACGACCAAAGAGATATTTTCCTCCCCACCCCTATCTGCCTCTTGTTGGGACCACTCACTCTGCGACTCCCTCGTCTGCTCCACATTCCCCACCTTCCCCGGCATCTTTCCCTGCAACTGCAGGAGGTGCCACACCTGCCCCTTCACCTCCCCTCTCACCTCCATCCACGGCCCAAGGCAAACTATTGAAATCTGACAAGGGTTCACTAGTACATCCTCCAACCTGGTTTACTGTATTTGTTGCTCCCGATGTGGCCCCCTCTACGTAGGTGAGACCAAGCACAGACTTGATGACTTGGAGCATCTGTGCTCTGTATGCTATAATCGACAACACCTTCCAGGCGCTAACCATTTCAACTGCCCCTCCCACTCCCTGGGCAACATGTCCGTCCTGGGCCTCCTCCAGTGTCACAATGACACCACCCACAAACTGGAGGAACAAGACCTCATATTCCGCCTCAAGAGCCTACAGCCTCAATACAGAATTCACCAGTTTTAAAATCTCCCCACCCCTGGCCTCATCCCATGTCCAACACTCCCTCTCATCCCCACCTCCTTGACCTGACGCGACCTGTCCATCTTCTTTCCCCACCCTTCTCACTGAGCAATCTCCATCACCCCCTACCTGCATCCACCTATCACCATCCCACCTACCTTTCCCCAGCCTCACCCCTCCTCCCTCTATACATTTCCCAGCTCCCTTCCCCCTTCCCAGTACTGATGAATGTTCCAACCCCAAACGTTGACTTTCCTGCTCCTCTGATATTACCTGACCTGCTGTGTTCCTCCAGCTCCACATTGTATTGACTGACTTCCAACATCTGCAGTTCTTGCTATCTGAGTGACTGTATCACGTATAATGGCAGTTCTACCATATTATTGCATTCAATCTCATCAATCTACCTACCACTTTCTACCAAGTGCAGGCTCACTCTACTTTCAATAAAAATAGGTTAAGTATCTATTTAAACTGGATCCATATTCAGCCATTATTGTTTTCCCATAAAAGGAAACTTATGAGAGACCAAAAGGAGACAGTTCTTCCTGATAAGGGATGAAGGAAACAACTTACTTAGCTCAAATTCACAGCAGGATAAATCTGTTCAAATACCATTAATTATTTTAGTTAACTGATAGATCGGATCAGACTTCCAGTTCAAATGAGCAGGTCCAAGTACTTTTTAAACATTGAGAGGTCTCCTGCCTCAACTATTCTTCCAGGCAGTGCATTCCCAAACACACAACAATCTCTGTGTGAAAAAGTTCTCTCAAAACCTCCTCTAAACTTCTTGCCTTTCACCTGAAAATTATGCCCCCTTAAATTGACACTTTGACTAAGGGAAACAGTTGCCTTCTATTTACAATGTCCACGTCCCTCAATCTTATACACCTCTATCAGGTCCCCCTCAGGTTTCTCTCCTCCAAAGAAAACAATTCAAGCTTAACCAGCCTGTCTCCATAACTGAAATGCTCCATCCCAGGCAACATCCTGGTGAATGTCCTCTGCCCCTTCAGTCAAATCACGTTGTCCTGTTGCATGGTGACCAGAACTGTACACAATACTCCAGTTGTGGTAATCAAAGTTCTGTGCAGTGGAACATGATCTCCCTGCTCTTCTAATCTATGCCAAATGTTCCACAATGCTTCTTAACACCCTATTAATTGGTCCTGCCACCTTCATGGATCTGTCAACAAGCACCACAAGATGCCTCTGTTCCCGAGTTTCCTAGTGTTGGCTGTTCTTGGAGTGCTCCCTTGTCTTGTCAGTTCTTCCAAAGTGCATCACCTCACATTTATCAGGGTTGAACTCCATCTGCCACTGATCTGACCGATCTGTTTGTAACTGAACAACTTCCTCCTTTGAAGTGTCATAACGTTCAAGGTCATGGGCCTCGAGCAGGGACTAGCATAAGTAGCAGTATATTTTTGGTGGTAGACACAATGGGCTGAAGGGCCTCTTCTACATTGTATGATTCTATGATCCAGCATACATCTATTTGTATTTATATAAAACTAAAGGAGGAAAGCAGGCAGTAAAGTGGAGCTAAAGTCATATTTAGATCATCCATAATTGTACGGAGTTGTGAGCAGGCTCAATTGGCCAAATAGCCTACTCCTGTTACTATTTATTTTGATCTTAAAAGTTTTCATTTATTCAGCTCCTTTCACGGCTTCTGGAAGTTCAAATTTGCATCATGGCCAGGAAAGTACTCTTGAAATATGGTTACCGTTATAATGAAGGAAACAAGACAGTTTATGCATATAGATTCTCAAACAGAAATCTGAAGAACCATCTCATCTATTTTTGGGATGATTAAGAGATCCTTCAAGCAACATCACTAAAATATGGATTACCTAATCATCGTCACAGTGCTGCTTGTGGAAGTTTGCTGTGCAAAAACTGACCTCCACATTTCCCGCATTAAGACAGTGACTACACTCGAAAATGTACTTCTTTGGCTGTAAAGCACTTTGATGCATCCGATGACTGAAAGCTACTAAATATGTATAAAATATTCAAAAAGCTTCAGAAGGAAGAGCATATTATACAGCATTTTTTTACATCCTCAGTGCCCCTAAACATTTCATGGAGAATGCATAAATTTTAAATTTAGGGAAACGCAGGACCCTACAAATAGCAGAGATCATAAGTTAGCTAACTATTTTGATGGTGTTCATTAAGGGAGAATTCTTCTGTTCTTCTTCAAATAGTGCTATGAAATCTTTACATCCAGTTAAATGGGCAAAAGATAATTCAAAGAATGGTATTTTCATCATGGCAGCTCTCTCTCAGTATCAAAGTGATTTATCAGTCTGGATTGTACTTGCAATCCGGGAGAAGAGTTTGAACCCAGAGGTAAGAGTGCTAATTAAGTCAGGTTACCAAACTGATTAAAATCAGCACTCCACTCCTAGGTGTTACAAAATCTAGTATAAATAATACTGCCAGTAGATCTGTGACATTCTTTAATTATACTTCTACCTTGTAAAAGAGAAAAATAAGCATCCATTGCATTTTTCATCATGTCCATGTTACAATTCACATCTGTGAATAACTCCAAAAGTTTCAGTCTTGTGCTTCTCAAGTCACTGAAAGACAAAACAAAATTGTATTACTAAATTTATGATTACCAACCTAGTATAAATATGTAAGATTACTGTACAGTACACTTCCATATGATATTAATGATTCATTACCAGATCGACTCAAATGCCCTTTCGAATTACTATTCCAACTTCTGTCATCAAACATCAAACATCAACTATTTCTCCCTCCACACATCTGCCTATTTCCAGCAACATTTTTAAAAATTTCCTATTTCCTGCGCATCTAATATTTTGATTTTGTAACTGAAATCAGTTTGCGAACATTGAGGGCAACTAACATTTCATGAAAGACTTAGTTGAATTATAATCATACAATTAAAGTATATTCATTGACCAATCTAATATTATTCTGCTTATGTACTACCAATGCAGATCTTGGTACTGTAACATCACCTGATTCTATTTAGCACCACTTGACAAAAAAATGCACCATGGTTTTGCAAACAGGAATAACCTAATGTTTCAGAGTTACAGCTGTAAGACTGAGGGCTGTCTGTTTAGATTCAAACTCAGACTTCCAAGGTTAAATAAGACACTGTGCTCCAGACTCGCTATCCCTTATCAAGAAATCCTTGTACTGGTGTGTTAGAAGTACAGCAATTTGATCAAGGTAGCCTTTGCATTATAACTAACTTTGTAACAACAAGTTTGATTTTCCAATTGTATAACCTTTCAGACTTTAACATACTCTGTATAACAACTTGTAAAATTAGTATGTTCTGTATTAGTTTTGCCTTTAGGCTATAAAGACTAACGAAGTGTTTTCAAGCATTCAAACAGAGAAAAAAAAAACTAATTCAAACAAATGACTTAAAGGGAAAAGAATGTACACGCTCAGTGATAAGTAGGTGATTTAACAGGAACTTGGCCAAATTAAATGAGGATTGAGACACGAGCTCAAGGATATCAGCTTTTGGTGACCAAAAGACAAGTGTGAGAAGTTTGAATTTCTCCTACCTCCAATTGTGAGAAGATGGCCCTTGAAGCATTGGAGAGACAGACACCTGGTGTCAACATGCACCCTAAGCTGAACCAGAAAGCAAGAGCCGCAACATGCCTGCAAATTCACTACCCTGCTTTAATACATATTTATAACCGAAGTAAAATTTCCCAGGTTATTGCGCAAGTCTGTCTCCTGCTACCTTATTAAAGTCTCAAATGATCAAATTAATATGGAGTTTTGAGTTTAAATTAAATTAGACTTATAGCAACGTACAAAGGGTGCCATTCCTTGCACAGAAATTCAGTCACCATATCAGTCATTTCTTGGAATTTCATAATAAGATCAATTTCAGAAATGATTCCTTTTCATTCTCCCGGTCTACAACTGTGAATACTGAATTAGGACTCATGGTCACGCTCCTGGTCTTACACCATGATAATTCTGCAGTCTGCACACTAGTTCTGTAATCTTACAGTTAATCTTTCATCTTACCCATATCACACACCCAGTTATGTATACCTGCTTATGTTGGGATGGTTCAGATAATAATTACTACATGCAATTTCAGAGCAAAATTATAAGCAATGGGATTTCACGTTATTTTGCTTTATTTACAAAATGTTTATTTAAATTCTCAAATATTTGTCTAAATTTAAATCACAAGTGCTGTTACTGAATATAATAAAACAAGGAAAGTTACAGGTTCGAGTCCTGATTTTCAATTAGTTAGATGACATCAGATGGTTTCAAAGTGAGTGTTACAACTTGCCTCCACGCTCCTGAGCTATGGCAGCAAGGCCAAGTCTCAGCACCAGTCACTGCTTGTTTCTTATCAATATTAATTGATATCTAATTCTGCTTCTAACAATCAAATCCTCTGTTAAACTGAAGTGTGTGGATTTAAAAGTCAACTGAGGGTCTGTTAGTAGCTTTTTCTTGGCTCAAAGTCAGAAGCAAAAATTAATTGTTTCATTCCAGATATGTTAGCACAAAAATCAAGGCTAATACCAACATTGCGGTGACAGTGAAAAATATACTGGAGGAAGTATCAGCTTTTAGAGGAAACATTCAGCTGAAGCCCCACCTTCTTTCTCAATTGGATGTGAAAGATTTCATGATATCATTTTGAAGAAAAGCAGGGACATTTACCATGGTATCCAAGCTAATAATTTGTTACTCTATCAACATAGCAACAAAAGTAGGTCTTTATCAAACACATTGCTGTTTAACAGAGCTTGTTGTTTGCAAACTGGCTGCGGAATTACATTCAAACAGTTAGTACATTTCAAAAGTACTCTATGGTCTTTAAGTTCTTTGGAACATTGAAGTTGTGAAAAGAGATTATATAAATGCAAGTTTTTATTTTATCTGGAAAGGAGGGCAATTGTTGCAAGGTGATACCAGAGGATTTAAGAACCTCAAGAGTCTCAGTGTCAAAAGACTCTCCACACCATGAAGACCTTTTAACTGGACAATGACTGTAGGTTCCATATGCAGTTGCCTGTAGGCAGAGGGAGAGGCAATGTTGAATATGTATTGGCGCAGTTCTTGAATAAATCTGATGGAATATTCATTGCTAACCTGGATGGATGAAACTATTTCAGATGGACACCAAGATCAACTGTGCTTGCTGTACACACCATTTACAAGCACTGCAGTAACTAACCAAACTGATTCCAACAGCTCATGCCTTGCATTTTAGTCCTCTTTTACACAGGATAAGTGCATCAACATCTTGGCAGTTCTTTACTTCCAAATCAGAGATGATCCTGATTTGGACACAAATTGTCATTCCTTTATCATGGCTTGATTAAAACTGTAATTCACAACCTAACAATCATCACAAGGTTGAAGTAGCTCAAGAAAGTAACCAACTACCACAATTTCAAGGATATCAAGAACAGACAATTATAATCTTGCCAGCATTGTCCATATTTCAACTGCTCAGATGATCAAAATTCTGTGTTACTCCCATACAGAAACTGTAACGTCCTTTCTTTCCTGAATGCTGTTACACCTGCTTTCTGCAGCTCAGCTTACAAAGCAAAGCAACACAATACTGACAACTTTTCCATTCTCCAGATGTCAGCGTGGCTAGCAATGCTCATTTTGGAATTAAAAATTGAATTTGTGTTCTGGATTACCAGCTGAATAACTAGCAGCTCTCTATCATTCAGTAACGTACTAAACCACAGTATTCATTCTGGGCATCAGATAGTTTATTTCCATTTGAATATGGCTGGACTAATTTGAATGTTGCTCTTTTTCCAGCAAAATTAGATAAAAGTAGCTCACATTGAGGTGAACAAGATCCTCAAAAACAATATCCCAAGCAGCAGTTGATGCAAGCCTTCTTGCCTTAAATGCCTTTCCCTATTCCTAGAAATTGTCACGTGTATTTGAAAAGGTGAACAAATACAAAGTGAGGAAACAACAATCTACGTCTTTCCATTTTGGTCAATGTTCTACACTTATAAACAGTTTGATTTGTGTTTACGTTTGAAAATAACAACATTATCTGTGTTAAGAAACTCAACTTTCTGAAATTGGAATCTTAGTAACCAACTACCACAATTTCAGAATGTTAAAAATTGACCTGAAAGAAACTGAAATATAGCTTGACGGATGACAGAGTTTCAGCCTATTTCAAGTAACAGCAGTCCTTCTTTCCTAATATTTTATTCCTTGAATTCATTCAACAAATTATACCTCAAATGAGATTCACCTAATAGCAGATTTCATATCTGAAAAATTGTAGAACTAAAGTCAGGACTATTTCATTTGGGAAAAGTAGTATGCAATGAGGTCTGGCAACAAATTTGCAAACCACAAGGGGTCAATTTTTAGAGCAGAGAAGGGACCTGATTGACGTCAGATGGGGCACAGACAGGATGGATAGAATGCAGTTGCTACCCTTAGTTGAAAGGGCAATAAAGAGCAGGCATAACTTTAAGGTGAAAGGGAGGAAGTTCAGGGGGTAGTTAAGGATTTTATTTTCACCCAAAATGTGGCAGGAACCTGAAATGCATTGCCTGGGAGGGTAGTTGAGACAGGAAACCTCAATCTTTAAAAAGTATTTGGATGAGCACTTGAAATTTGAGAACATTCAAGGCTATGGGCCAAGTGCTGGAAAGCAAGACGAGCGCTGATAGAGGAACTTCTTGTCAGCGTTGATGAGATGGGCCGAAAGGCCGCTTCTGTAGTGCATGATTCTATGATGACAAAAATAAAACAGCAAAACTGACTCCAATGATAGAAAGGTCAAAAACCAGAGGGAATCGATTTGAAAGAAGCAGTGGGGATACGAGGGAAAAACCTCATCGCCACACAGAGGGGCTAGGATGTGGAATGTACTGCCTGACAGGGCGATGAAGGCAGATTCAACAGAAGCAATGCAAAGGGAATTGATCTGCATCTGAAATAAGAACTTTTACTGCTACGGCAGGGAAAGTCAGGCGAATGACACTAGGTGAACCGAAAGAACTGTGGATGCTGTAAATCAGAAAAAAAAACCAGAAATTGCTGGAAAAGCTCAGCAGGTGTGACAGCATCTGTGGAGAGAAAGAAATCAAAGTTCATCCTTCCTCAGGGCCACTGGACCCGAAACGTTAACTCTGATTGCTCTTCACAGATGCTGCCAGACCGGCTAAGCTTTTCCAGCAATGTTGGCTTTTTGACACCAGATGAACTGTTCCTTCAGGGAGCCAGGAGACACACTGGGCTAGGCACTCCGTTCTGTGCCGTAAACACTCCATGATTCTAGGATTTTAAACTACTGTGGGCCTAAGTCAATCCGTCAGGAAAGGAGGAATGGGTAAAGGAAGTTAGCATGTTTATTTTTAATGTTGCGTTCTTATTACACCCGGCTAGTATCCTCAGAAGGGAAGGTGGAGAGGCAGGTCGGACTGTGTGTCGGCGAAGTCAGTGGTACATTTGAAGGGCCTGGGCATTTAAACCTTACTTGCAGATCTTCGCCGCGGCGGTGTTCGTGGCGACTCCGTAAAAGTTGAAGGAAACCGGGGCCGTCGCCTTCAGCGGGTTCCGATGAAACCAGTGTGTCATTGTCGTTTACCGACTGGATGCAGAACGAAGCTGCCTGCTTCAAAATACCGTGTAGATCGGGAGGGGGAAAGAGAGAGAGAGAGAGAGAGAGAGAGATAGGGAAAGCGGCCTACTCCAAGACACCAAGACCGGGAGGAGGGAAAGCGGCCTATCTCCGTACACCGGGACCGGGGGAAGAGGAGGAGGCGGCCTGTCTCCGCACACCAGGACTGGGAGTGGCCTGTCACAGTCGCTCGGGAGAAGTAGGTATCGAGTACATCAAGACCGGGATAAAACCGGGGAGTTTCGGTTGGACACTGGTAGAAGCCAGAAACCAGGAACAGCTCGCGGGAGGCTGCGCGCTGACGTCAATCGTTCTCCTGGAGATCACATCCTCCAGCTAGACAACCGAATGCTGGTACTCTCCTTGTAATTTTCTTTTCATCTTAGACGAATTCTCCGAAACCGTTCTACCTGCCTTTGTTTTTCGCTTTTTTTATATAAAAAAAAGTTAATGACGGGGCGCCCATTACCGGACGATATCTCCGCCCCTCTCAGCTTCAGCAGACGTCATTGGGGAAATACAGCATCCTGATTGGCTGAGGGACCCTGGGCGCGCGGCCTGGCGATTACCTCATCTCAACCGTCACGTCCATGCGCCCGCTCGCCCGAGCTTGCCGAAGCCGATCGTTGATTGACTGCGCGGTGAGCCAGCCAGATGGAGGAGAGGGAGAACGGGCGGCACGGACAGCCAATCAGACCCGGCGAAAGTCCGGTGGGCGGGGATCGGAGGTGGGGCGACCCGTGTTGAGCCGCCATCAGGTTCGGGTTCAGGGCCTTTCTTGTTGCCTCCTCCTCCTTTGGCTCGGATTGCACACACAGCCCAGATGGGCTTGGTCAGGAGCTGGGTCTGGTACTGGTTGGAGGCTGTGACTTGAGGCACAATGTTAGGCGAGGAGTAGTTTACAAACCGAGTCCAAATGTTGACTTGATACTATTTGGAACGACAATATATATTTTAAACACTTAAAAGAATGACTGATATTAATAAAACAGTACAAAAATGGCACGCAAGTTTCAAAAAAGGTACAGACTTCGATTCCTGGGGACAGTTAGTGGAAGCTATCGACGAGTACCGAATGTGAGTCATTATTAATCCTGTTACATAAACCGTTTGAGTTGTTATTGACCAAACTTTTTCTGAAAAAAAATTATTTCAACGTAGATGACGTAGAAAGTTTAAAGAAAAATACTGAAGGTAGCGCCAATCTTTGGGCTTTAAACTGCCAGGGGAGCTTGCACAGTTCATTCTGCATCCACACCCTCTTTTGTTATGGGTGGAGACAGCAGGATATGTTGATGCTTGTTCTGTTTTGAACGAGAATACTTAGATTTTTTTTTGCCTTGTTTTGTTAAAATGTTTCTTGGTGAAAAGCTTCAGCTCACCATGTTTCATTATTTCAGCAAGACAAAGTAGAAAATAAAATTGAAATGCATTCTACTAGTTGGATATGGTTGTATTTTCCCTGCATCAGACACACAGACAACCTTGGTGTCACCAAGAGTTTAACTGCCTTCTGGTTGGGGTACTCTGGAATGACTTATGCACTTGACTTTTCTTAACTTTGTGGCAGCGTTTCTGGTCTCTATTCTGATAAGTTGCCCAAATGCACAGTTTATTTAACCGTTTGGTGGCTGCTGGCATCAACTGTACCCCTACTAATACAAAGTCATGCTCCATCAATGTGTGGATGCAATATATGGAGATTGCAAGTGAAAAAAAAATGCTATCAGAAAATTTGAAGTTGTGGTGGGTGCAATGGGTATAATTGAGGTTTTAATTTTTTAATTTTTGTGGGGTGTGGGTGGTTTTGGCTGGCCAGCATTTATTGCTTGTCCTAGTTGTCTTTGAGAAGCTGTTAGTGAGCTTCCTTCTTGAACTTCTGCAGTCCATATACTGTAGGTATACCCACAATTCCATTAAAGAAGGAATTCTAGGATTTTGACCTGCAGTAGTGAAGAAATGGTGATACGTTTCCAAGTCAGGCTGGTGAGTGGCTTGGAGAACTTGCAAGTGGTGGTGTGCCTATGTATCTGTTTCCCTTATTCATCCAGATGGAAGTGGTCATGGGTTTGAAAGGTGCTGTCTAAGGATCTTTGACAAATTTCTGCAGTGCATCTTGTAGATAATAGCAACAGTGTGTACTGAGCAATGATGGTGGATGTGGTACCACTCAAGCAGGCTGCTTTGTCTTGGATGGCGTCAAACTTTTTGAGAGTTGTTGGAGCTGCACCCATCCAGACAAGTGGGTGGTATCCTATCACAATCCCGACTTGTGGCTTATAAATAGTGGACAGGCTTTGGAGAATCAGGAGGTGAGTAACTCGCAGCAGTATTCCTAGCCTGTGACCTCCTCTTGTAGCCAGTGTGTTGATGTGTCGAGTCCAGTTGAGTTTCTGGTCAACGGTAACCCCAGGATGTTGATGGGTCTATTCAGTAATGGTAACACCCTTAAATGTCAAGGATTAGGGTTATGGATTCTCTCTTATTGGAGATGATCATTGCGTGATGTGAATGTTGCTTCTTTTCACAAAAGATGATGCAATCTAAGCCATGGTGAAACATGAGGTAATTCAGATGTTAGAGGTTTTAAGATTGATGAAGATGAATTATTGTACTTGATGTTAAATATTGAATGAATCAGAATTGAATGATGCATAAAAAGATGTTGAGGAAAGCAATTGTGGAAATTGTAGAGGCACTGGTCGTAATTTTCCTGCATTCCTTTGATTTACAAAATTGCAAATCCTTCTTCAAAAAAACTGCCAAGATAGGCCCAGTAACTGCAGACCAGCAGTTTGACCTCAATGTTTAGAAAACTTCTAGAAATGATAATTGGGGACTAAACTGAAAATCCACTGTGTGGAGTTGGAGGGACACAGCAGGCCAGGCAGCATCGGAGGAGCAGGAAAGTTGACATTTTGGGTCGGGTCCCCTCTTCAGAACTGAGGAGGGGGAGCCAAAACGTCAACTTTCCTGCTCCTCTGATGCTTCCTGGCCTGCTGTGTTCCTCCAGCTCCAAACCGTGTTATCTCTGACTTCCAGCATCGGCAGTTCTTACTGTCTCCAAGTCCTTTGGAAAAATGAGTTAATTAAGGAACCCAACAAGGATTTCTTAAGGACAACTTGTGTTCAACCATCTTGTTGGAGTTTTCAGATGAGATAACAAGTTCTATGTTGATGAGGTCTACTTAAGTTTCCAAAAGATATTTGATAAAGTCCCTCGTGACTTGTGACTTGGAATGTAGAGGACAGCCGCAACATGGGAATGAAATTGGCTGAGTGACAGAAATCAGAAATGGTGCACAATTGTTTGAATTCATTGAAAGTTTGATTGAATTCCTTGGAAGTCAGTTTAGGATCCCTGCTTTTCTGGAAATATTAATAACCTTGATTCTAGTATACAGGGCAAATTTCAAAATTTGCAGTTAGTAGGAAACCTAGAAGCATTATGAAGAGTGAGCAGAATAGCTTTGAACTATTCTGTCAAAACCCTGGAACTCCCATCTTAACAATACTGTGAGTGTACTTCCCAGTGACTGGACCAGTTCACTAAGGCAACTCATAATCACCCTTTTCAGGGGCAATTAAGGATGGATGTAATGCTGTCCTTGCTAATTATACCCACATCCTGTGAATGAATTAAAGTAAAAACGGTGGAATGGATGGATAAGTGGCAAGTGAAATTTAATGCAGAGAAGTTAGATCACATGGAATAGGGGGAGAACTAGCCATTTGGATACAGAACTGGCTCGAAGGTAGAAGACAGAGGGTGATGGAGGGTTACTTTTCAAACTGGAGGGTTATGACCAGCAGCGTGCCACGAGGATGATGCAGGGTCCACTGCTTTTTGTCATTTTTATATAAATGAGTTGGATGTGACCATGGCAGATATGGTTAGTAAGTTTGCAGATGACCCCAAAATTGGAGGTGTAGTGGACAGCTAAGAAAGTTACCTCCGAATACAACGGGATCTTGATCAGATGGGTCAATGGGCTGAGGAGTGGCACACGGAGTTTAATTTAGATAAATGTGAGGTGCTGCAATTTGGAAAGGCAAGTCAGGGCAGGATTTATACACCTGATGGCAAGGCCCTGGGGAGTGTTGCTGAACAAAGAGACCTTGGAGTGCAGGTTCATCAGCTCCTTGAAAGTAGAGTTGCAGGTAGATAGGATAGTGAAGGCAGTGTTTGGTATGCTTGCCTTTATTGGTCAGTGCATTGAGTATAGGAGTTGGGAGGCTCGGGCACTTCCTTTATTCGTTCACAAAATGAGGGTTTTGCTGGCTTGGCTAGGCCAGGTAAGGATGGTAGTTTCCTTCCGTAAAGGAGATCAGTGAACCAGATGGGTTTTTCCAACAGTCATCGTTAGATTCTTAATTCCAGATATTTTATTGAATTCAAATTCCACCATCTGCCATGACGGGATTCAAACCCGGGTCCCCAGAACATTATCTGGATCTCTGGGTTAACAGTCCAGTGATAATACTACTAGGCCATCGTTGCAGGTTTCAAAACCCTGTCCTTCCCAGGTTTCTTGTCTCCTGTACGTCCGTATAGATTGTACCCTTTATAGTTCACTTTGTACTGGGTCTCTCTTTTTCCTACCAAAATGAATCACTTCACGCTTAGAGTCATAGAAATGTACAGCATGGAAACAGATGAGTTGGACCGAAGGGTCTATGTTGACCAGATATCCTAAATAAATCTAGTCCATTTGCCAGCATTTAGCCCATATCCCTTTAAACCTTTCCTATTTATATACCCATCCAGATGCCTTTTACATGTTGTAATTGTACCAGCTTCCACCGCTTCCTCTGGCAGCTCATTTCCATACACGCACCACCCTCTGAAAAAGTTGCCCCTCAGGTGCCTTTTAAATTTTTCCCCTCTCACCTTAAACCTATGCCCTCTACTTTTGGAATCCACCACCCCAGAGAAAAGACCTTGTCTATTTACCCTATTTATGTCCTTCATGATTTTATAAACCTCTGCAAGATCACCCCTCAGCCTCCGACGCTGCAGGGTAAATAGCCCCAGTCTATTCAGCCTCTCCCTGTATTTCAAACCCTCCAATCCTGACAACATCCTTGTAAATCTTTTCTGAACCCTTTCAAGTTTCACAACATTCTTCCTATGGCAGGGAGACCAGAATTGAGCACAGTATTCCAAAAGGGGAGGCAATGGCCTAGTGGTATTAATTGCTGGACTGTTAATCCAGAAACCCAGACACTTAACTGCCCTCTGCGCAATTAGGGATGGGTAATAAATGCTGCCTAGCCAGCGATGCTCTCCTCCCGTGAATGAATAAAGAATAAATCCTAGGGTTTAGGGGCATAGAGTTCAAAAGCTAGGAGGAAGTAATAAATTTGTTGCCCTCAGCTGGACCCTAGTGTGTTCAGTTCTGGGCACAACAATTCAGGAAGGATGTGAAGGCACATAGAGAATGCAGAAAGGGTTCAAATGGTTTCAGGCTGAGACAGTTCAGTTAT